ATAATTCACAACGAACGTCTCACGTGCTCGACTCAACAATACTCTCTCTCTGTCCGCAGTACAATTACTCATCACATTACATTGTTTCCGTCCCTTCTTGACCAGTCTTATATATACAAGACTACCACATATCTAGTAGTCTCCCGACGCTTCATGAACGTTCTAGGAGTGCGTGTTGTGTTACTAGGGTCACGTGACCTCCGCTGTCGTAACAAAAGTATAAATATCCTATACGGGACTTCCGTCTAAAGGGGCAGTAGAATGCATTTGATATTACAGACAATCGAAACTTATGAGGCTAACACTGAAATGATGTTATTTAAAGTATATGGTTCAGATTATATCAGTATTCTTTTTTAAAGCAGTTTAAACACTTTTGCTTGTGTCCATAAGTAGATAATTGCAAATACATCAAACAGGAGTATAATATAATTATATTAAGTCATAAATGCATTCACAAAACATTTGACAAAAAAAAGGAAATTCAAATATAAAAACAAAGTGAAAAATCCAAATGATACGTTATAAGGTTTAGTACATGTCAACGGTTACAGAATAAGTTAAATATTACGTCCAACTGACACACTACGACCTATAGACATTTGTTGAGTGCGTGCTAAAATTTCTAAACAAGGTCAATGCATATTTCTTATGCCTCAGTTGTAAAGTAACGTTATGAGAAATTACTCTAAGAATATTTCAGTTGAAGCTTATTACTCCATACAAATAAACATAAGAATATTTCAGTTGAAGCTTATTACTCTATACAAATAAACATATGAATATTTCAGTTGAAGCTTATTACTCTATACAAATAAACAGGGCAATTATAATTCTAGAATCTTAGCTAAACCTTTTCTTTCCAGCACAGAAATCCATTATTCCGACGTACACGTGCAAATTAATAATTAATATCTAATTAATGGTCTATTAATTAAATGTATAATTAATTAGTCAGATATAGATGATATACAAATTAATAATTAATATCTAATTAATGGTCTATTAATTAAATGTTTAATTAATTAGCCAGATATAGATGGTATGCAAATTAATAATTAATATCTAATTAATGGTCTATTAATTAAATGTTTAATTGATTAGTCAGATATAGATGATATGCAAATTATTAATTAATATCTAATTAATTGTCTATTAATTAAATGTTTAATTAAATAGCCAGATATAGATGATATGCAAATTAATAATTAATATCTAATTAATGGCCTGACAATTGTCTGACAATAGATTCTCCTTTTTGAAATACAATAAGATATGTACATCTACTCATACGGAAAAGTTCTAATACATCTGAACCATTACCGAAACTATCATATTCAATGACATTAAATTAAGCATATTATTCACTCCTGGTTTTCCAGATATAAAGCTTCGACTCATGTATGAACAGTGTAGGCACTATGTAGGGATGGCACAGACCTTAGCACTCTCTATGTAGGGATAGCACAGACCTTAGCACTCTCTATGTAGGGATGGCACAGACCTTAGCACTCTCTATCTAGGGATGGCACAGACCTAGCACTCTCTATGTAGGGATGGCACAGACCTAGCACTCTCTATGTAGGGATGGCACAGACCTTAGCGCTCTCTATGTAGGGATGGCACAGACCTTAGCACTCTCTATATAGGGATGGCACAGACTTTAGCACTCTCTATGTAGGGATGGCACAGACCTTAGCACTCACTATCCTGGTAGTCCTTAAATTCAAACTTCTCATGACGTCTGTTCCTTACTGTTTGGTAATTGTAATCCCTCTTATTGCTGAATCCATGAACAATGAACTAGTCATTCTTAACAGCCATGTTGTACAGATAGTTATCATTGTGTTGCGTAATTAACCTCTGTGGGTTATTTTATAGCTGCTACTTTTACAGATCTTTTATCTGACAGTGTGTGTCCATGACTTGTCCACTACAGATTTGGATATACCGAAGTTTGTATTCGTATATATCCAACAACTGAGCAGTTTGTATTTCTATTAGAAAACTTGGCCCGTCCATCTGGTTTGTCTGAATCTGAGAGAGGTTAAACATTTCAGTTCAATCACAAATATCCATATAATCGGTAACAATGCCACGTAGCTTTACTGATACAACGACTAAAGTCAAAGTGATTGCTAAAACTGTTGTCACTACCTGATCAAATTCGAGCATTTTTACAACAAACATGTGAATCTTAATTACTAATAACATGCATATTATTTGAATTACACTTAGATGAAATTTCACATTCCTAATTACAAGTTGAACCCTTAAAATGTTCTGCAGTGTATATATTTCATCTATACGACCTTTTGATTTTTCATTGGAAACTCTGTCGTTAATGGAAAAAGATGCATTTAGTTCAGTGTGCCTTTGGAGATAAATAGCTGCATCACGTGGATTATAAAAGTTTCTTGTAAGTGTAACGTCGTCTTATTTAACATCTACGTGTCTAATCGTCTCGATGGTGAAATATATCGTTGTTTTGACAAAGCTGTTCTCTGTAACCGAAATACAACACACAGTTTTTGTGAGTAAATATAAAACTGTACAGGGTATTTTAATAAATAGATAATATGGTTGTTTCTGTTTTCATATAAAATAATCTGTCTATCAGAATACAGTGTAGAGAACCAATTAATTTTATTACAAAATTCGAGTTAATTATGAGCCATTACATGTATAGTAGTAACACTTGTTTATACAGAGAGACAAAGTCGCAAATTTCCCTTTTATTCCAGTTTTGGGGTAAACCATTAAATGCCACCAAATCATCATTAAGGTGACAATCATTTGGCTAACTTTTTTTCGCGAAAAAGCCCCAAACAAACCTGTATCTATGTTAGAATCATAACTTACAGAACTGATGGACTATTTCAATGCATTCTATACATTATCGTTATGTACATTTTGCCACAAAGCAATGTATGTTGAATATAAGATTCAGGCCTTGTAATTGAGATCCGGTTTCATTATCTAGAGAAAGAGTTAAGTCAGTTGTAAACATAAATTAATGTGCAAGCTATCTTTGTTATCTATATAATTTATACTAAACAATAGGTTAGTATCTTGTAAAGTAATAGCCCCCAACATATGCTTAAACACTTTGAAAGCTGGTAGTGTTGATATACAAATACTTGACACATATATTGATCACTGTTAATGTTATTAAGCAATACACCTTGGAATTTCAAATATAATAATATTAACTCAGTTAAATTTGTTAATTACAGCATTTTTGTTATTTGCTAAGTGCTATTTCCAAACGTTTCGAAACGTAACTTGTTTGATTTTAACCTTAGTCAACTTTCGTTGTTCATACATAAGTTGCCCCACAGTGGCCCAGCGGTATGTCTGCGGACTTACAAAGCTAGAATTCTGGTTTCGATACCCGTGGTGGTCAGAGCACAGATAGCCCATTGTGTAGCTTTGTGCTTAATTACAAACAAACAAACAAATTTTTAAATGGTGTTTGCATTGGCTTTTACTCAATAAAATAATTTCTAATAAACCGTGGTTTATACATCAGAGTTTGGATAGATATCTAACAATTATATATGATCATATAATGCAACATTTGTGTATTTAAAAAGTGCTAATAGTTTAAGCTGAAAAACCAACCAGTTGTACATGGTCCACTGTTTTTGATATGGAGCCCATCTTGCCATTTGTTCCTAGCTTCAATTAGCTTACACTCGTTTTGGTAAGTTTTGCCGTCACTCCCGCAAATGGACTTCTGATGAATACAAAAACATAAGGCTTCTGGGGATTCTTCAAGTGGCAGATCTGTCCTTATCCGACATTCCAGCTTTTCTCCACAATATCCATACTTGGTTTTGTATTGAAGAGGAAGAGTTTCATTGTCGCAGCGAGCACCTTCCGTCACACCACACACAGAGCAGCAGCCGCAGCGGTCTTCCACCGTTCCTGCTAAGCAGCCCACAGGTACTGGACAAGCCTTGGGGTCACAAGCCTCACATTCGTTTTCGTAAGAAGCTTTTATCTTAGTAGTTAGTCCTATTATAACAGCTAACCTGAAAATCCTCTGTTTCAAAATCATTATTAAATATTATTTTTACGAGCAGAATAATTACTGATCCGCCTCTTTAATATTAAAACTTATTGTAGTGGCGCTCTTTCAATATGGGCGAGGTAGAAGACACAGATAACGTTATTAACCCGTATAAAGTCCAAGGGTTTCAAGCGATAGTAGATAAGAAAAAAGTGTAGTAATTTGCTTGGGTTGTTAAACGTAAGAAGAAGCCTGTACAAGCTAAGTTTTTAGCCTTTATACACAGAAGTACATGGATATGATTGTCGTTCACTACTTACTCTTCGTGCCTTATGAAAACTAAAAGACAAAATCATTATATCTTTCTTTTTAACTTCTTTCATCTATTTTCATAGATTTTTGGCTGTATTAATCGCGGCCCCAGGTTAATGGATCCATTTATAAACCTCTCAATTAGCTATTTCTGTTTATTCATAGTTATTAGCCGTTACTTGTCTTTTCCTCAGTCTTATTTCATGTATTCCTATTTGTATTTTTATCTACCTATCTGTCGTCATATGCCTTGAAAATGTTTTTGATTTGCTGCCTGTTTGTCTCATTCTGTTTTCTTTACAAAGTTTCGTGTTGTCAGTACGTTTCAGAGGTTTTTCTAGTGTACAGTTGATCACAAATTGTACACATGTAAAAATATTTGTAAAGTGGAAAATTCACCTATATAAGTAAGTTCAAGTGGTTTAGTATTAAAAACATATTTAACAGTATAAAATTCCATTCCATTCGTAACACTCTGTAAATCTTAGAATAATCAGATAAGATCAAAAAAGCTAAAGTTTAAATGTACACCTGAGTGATGTAAATTACACTTAGTGTATTTTGAAATATATGATTGCACTTTCACATTTTTCGGGGTTTCTAACATTTGATAAGACAATTATATATATATATATAGTAGGGATGGCACAGACCTAGCACTCTCTATGTAGGGATGGCACAGACCTAGCACTCTCTATGTAGGGATGGCACAGAC